ACACGATGGAATACTACCAAGCCATAAAAAAGAATGAGATCTTGCCATTTGCGACCGCATGGAAAAAACCAGAGGCTATTATGCTAAGTGAAAGAAGTTATACAGAAAAAAAAACAAATACCATATGACTTGGCTTATATGTGGACTCTAAAAACAAAACAGACAAACAAAACAAAACAGTAACGGACTCATAGATACAGAGAACAAACTGATGGTTGCCAGAGGGGAGGTGGGTGGTGGACGAAATAGGTGAAGGGGATTCAGAAGTACAATCTTCCAGTTATGAAATAAATAAGACAAGGGGATATAATGTACAGCACATTTGTTACAATATTGTAACATCTTCATACAGTGACAGACAGTAGCTAGACTTACTGTGGTGACTCTTTCATAATGCATATAAATACTGAATCATTAGCCTGAAACTAATACAATATTGCATGTCAACTGTTCTTCAGTTAAACAAAATAATAGAGTGTGGCAGAGTGAGGGTACTGTTGCAGCAAAAGTCCCTAACAGTTTGAGCATGCTTTCATGCATTCATTGCTATTTGGCCATTCATTCATTCAACCAAAGTTCATTAAGCAGGGTGCTACCCTATTCCTGTCACTGTGCTCTAGGGAGCAGTGATGAACAGGAGACCAGGTACCTGCTTTCAGGATTGTACAGTTTCTCTGTGCAAAAAGTGAGGACATTATAGATGTTGGGAGTCCTACATGTGGATATATGCTGGGTGCTTTGGAAACTGATACACACAAAAATTGTAATTATTTTTGATTATGGTCTTGAAACCGTGCAATGCAAGTCAGAGGGATGTGAAGTGGAAAGTGTATATATGTGTACGCACACACGCACACACACACACACACACACCGAAGGACACACATTCTATGTAGTTTTATGTTTCTGGTTTCCACTTTCATGAGGATATAGAATAGTGGTTCACAGCATGACGCCTAGATTAAAACTCCAGCCCACCTGTCATTAACTGTGGATTGGGGGCAAACTGCTTAACTTCTCTCTAGTTCGTTTTCATTAGCAGCCAAAGTGGATGATTATAATAGCACCTACTTCTTAGGTTTATGGTGGGTTGTAGTGAGCTTAGTGAGTTGGCAGTCCTCAGTGTTAGCTCTTACCAGCCTTGGATCATTTTCCTAAGGTAGAGTGGGGAGGGCACAGGCTTAGCAACCAGCCAGACCAGAGCCCGAGTCCTACTCCATTACTTACCAACCAAGCAAGTAACTTAACCTCTGAATTCCAGTTTTCTCATCTGTAAAATGAAGATAACGATACATAACCCCATGAGATTGCATAGTTCCTGGCAATTACCAGGCACTCAAAGAATAGCATTTATCCCTCTTATCCCTTTCCCTAAGATTAAAAACCGCTTGAGCCCAATAATGTGATGAAAGTAAGGGCAAGAAAAAGAAGAAATAATATTCTGGAGAATTACAAGTAAAAATACGATATAGTATGTCTTTCAGGTCATTTTTAACATTTGAAACTTTGTCCTTCTAAACAAATCTCTAAGTATGTGAAAGAATGGCTTATCCACCTCTAGTTTGTTTGTTTGTTTGTTTTTTTACTTTTATCTGTTAGAGTGTGAGTGAATGAAATGGAATTCATAGAATGGGTCTCTAGATCTGAGCCAACTGCTATAAAAACTCTAAGTTCTACTTTCTTTATTTTTATTTTCAAGTGCAGTGTCTATGTAGCTATGCCGTCATTCATAAACAGGGGAAGAGCAGCGTGTACAAAAGAACAGAAACATGTCCTGGTGTAGTTTGTCAGGAAGGAAAGTCTGCTCAGCTGGGCAGGCACTGGACGGGTGACTCAGGTCTGTGCAAATGTCCCACCCTCCCCTGGCCAACTTTTGCCTTCATCTGCCCTCCATGTTTCTGGCTTCCTGGCTGGCGTGAGGTCTGCAGAGCAATTTTAGGTTAATTTCTCTGTCTTTTCTCTAAAAGATTGAATCAGCAAAGGTCTAAGGGGGCGTGGGCCTTAGCATATCTCACAAATCACAAACTTCTTAATAAATGCTCCAAACAATAAAAATAATACAAGGCAAAGGACTTCTTCGTCCCGGGCATCACTTCTGTACCAGGTTTTCTTTAAATGCACATTCAGCGTTCTTTCTTCCCAAGGGAGTTTTATTAAATACAGCTTATTTGATGACCTGTCTTTTTCTCTCACTCTGTCTTGCAAGTACATACGCTTTTGGGCCCAAGAGAGGCCCAAAGGGCAAGGGCTGCACAGAGCTGTAAAGCCAGTAATACTGAAACTTATCTGACCCTCACCTCGTTCGCAAATCTTGCATCTTCCAGTCACTGGGGATCAAAATTCCAGATGGTAGGGACATGGTTTCTGTCCTGTCTCCGCCAACCCGCTCTCCAGCCCCTCTGCACTGTGGGGGGCAGGGGGAGAGGGTGTGTGATCAGAACATCCCTAGCTTCTCTGGGTTAAATTCCACTCGTGGGTAAAGTGTCAGTGTTGGACTAGATTTCTGAGTTCTCTTGCACGTCTGATTGCTCTGCTGAGGTGTGACTGAACAATGAACCTTCACAGGGGGTAGGGGCAATTCTCACATTCTAGCAATGGCAGCAATTCCCTGAGGCAGCGGCCACTGCTCCCAGAGCCACCTTCCACACTCTGTAAGTCCTCTGGGCTGCCTCTGCCCACTCCATTCATTGCAGTATGAGTCTGGACCCCCAGTCCTTTGAGTTTTTGACCCCTGGGTTCCAGTCTTACGCAACGTTGGAACCATGCTCCCATGTGTAAGAATGAGCTCATTTTCAGTTCTTAGTGGATCGGTGTGGACTGGCCTGAGCAGACATGGGAGTGCTGGTCATAAATTCTCTGTAAAAGAAATCTGGGAGGGGCACCTGGCTGTAGGTTAAGTGACCGACTCTTGGTCATGATCTCAGGGTCCTGGGATCGAGCCCTGCTTCGGGCTCCGTGCTCAGCACAGGGTCTGCTTGGAATTCTCTCCCTCGCCCTCTGCCCCTCCTGCTGGTGCTCTCTCTGTAAAAATAAATAATTAAATCTTAAAAAAAAATCTGGGAAAACTTGGTGGAGATGAGAACAGGGACAAGGCACCTTCAGAAACCAACTGGGGAACACAAATATTTTTCAAGGAGGGTTTCCTTGTCCTCAAAATATAATTTTATATACATGGATTTGTTCAATCAACTAACGATCAAGATAATACTTGCTTTGGTGGTTAGAGGGTATTTGAATCAAAGAAAAAACTTTCTAAAATATCTTTTATCAAAATATATGGAGAAAAGTACACACGCTATCAGTGGGCAGGTCAATGCATTCTTATAAAGTGAACACATTGAGTAACCACAAACCAGCTCAAAAATAGCACGGAGTGATAAGCCCTTATTCTATGCTCTCTCCTTCTCAGAAATACATTTTTGATGGTGTTGACAGCATCACCTCTCTCTGTTCCCTTCCAGAACCATTCCTGGGACCACCTCCCTCTCATTCTCACTGTTACTTCATTCCCCGCCCCCAATCTTTCTCCTTCTTAGGACAAAACAAAATACGTAATATGGACTAGCACTGGCCATTCTCTTCCCCATAACCAGAAAGTCAGTAAATTGGGTGGAAAGGAATGGTGTGGGGCAAAAGGGATGAACCACTGTTTTCATAGCTGTATGAAAACTTGATATGTATGGTCAGGGTCCTCAGGATTTTTGGAGCTCTCATTTTAGGTAGACTGCACCATGCAGCCAAGATGAGAAAACAGAGGCCCAGGAAGGTGAGGCAGCTTAATCTGGATTTCAGAAAACAAACCTTTGCAAAGTGTGGAGTCTTTGTGTAGGTCAGAACCAGAAGCTTCAGGCTATAAAGGGAATTCTCAGCCCCGTAATGGGTAGTGGCCCCATAATGGGTAGTGGCCCCGGGCCTCTTTGAGAAGCTGGTAGAAGGTATGGTGTCCCTTCCCAGAAATATGTATACACAGAAAATGCATATCACTTTATGGGGTCCCCACACCCAGGGACCCCCTGGATTCCTAGGAACTGTCCCCAGTCGGCTGCAATGACTCTCTGTGGGGATAGAGCACACATGCCCATTATCTTCCAGCCAAAGATCGGAGTGTACTGTCAGTGCGGTGCACCTGCCCAACGGCCTGAACTCGTACTTGGATGCCCCCTCTCTCCCAGCACGCTGTGTGCACTGCGGGTCGCCCTCCTTTCCCATGGAGCTGTCACAAAGGACAGCCCTTGGCACCCTCCCTCCTCACTGCCCAGGAGCACCGGCTCCACAAAGTTCTGGTGCCCGGTTCTCTGGGATCACTGCCAGCTGGGTATACAGCTCCGGCCAGGAGGGCGCCCGGCGGCCCCAGGAGCCTGGGAGACCCGGGGCCACTCGCCCTCATCCCTAGACCCTGGCTTCCCCCGAAAGCACTGGGTCTTCGGCGAGCCGCTGCGGGCACGCGGAGGGCGGCGGGGACGCAGAGGCGCTGGGGGACGCGCGAGTGTGCGCACCGACAGGGCGCGTGGCCGGCGGTGCCCGGCTCTCCCGAGGCCTTGGTGGCCCCGGACCGGGCGGGGGCCGCGGTCCCGGCGGTGCCCTCCCTCCGCCTGGCCGGCCCGAGCCGGGCCGGAGCCGCGAGAGCTGGAGCAGCGCCCCTACCGCCCGCTTTTCCGCCTCCATCTCCTCCGCCTCCTCCTCCTTCCCCCAACCACCCGCGCAGTCACAACCGGTTCAGACTGGCCAGGGTGCCCCGCAAAGGAGAGGGACAGGGGGGCAAACCGCGGGGAAGAACTTGCCGGGAAGGAGGAGACGGAGGAAGAGAAGGTGGAGCCCAGAGGAGGGGGCCGGCTTCCTCCCTCCCTGCACGCGGCCGCCGCCGCCGCCGCGGGGCTCGGCGGGGGCAAAGGGCGGCGGCTCCCGGGGCCGCGCGTAGCGGGACCGATTGCCCAATACTCTCGCAGGGGCCTGGGCCCCCGGATAAATACCGCCCGGCCAGCCCGGAGCAGCAGGGGAGAGCGGCGGCCGCGGTCCTCACCGCACCACCCGCCCGGCTCGCCCGGGGCTCTGCGCCCCGAGGCCGCTACCCAGGTAAAGGGCCGGAGCTCGCGGGAGGGTGCTCGGCGGCCGCCCGCGCTGCCTCGCCTCCCAGAGGCGAGAAGTAACTCCTCTGGCTCGGGGCAGCAGGAGGCGGCGGCGGCGGCGACGCTGTCACCCGCGGCCAAGCACTTTGGAACATGGTTTGGGGTGTGTGCCGGGGGCTGAGTGGCCTCGGTACGCCCGGCCCTTGATACCCGCCCCTGCGGATGGGGTGCTTCTCCGCGGTGGGCAAGTTTCCCCAGCAATCTGAGGGCCGCATTTTGCACGGAGGTGGAAGACAGAGACAGAGATAGAAAAGACCGCCAGAAAGGGGTCCTGGAGGAAGGACGGTGCCTACGGACCGGGCTCAGGGCGGAGGTCTGTCCCGGAACTGCCGAGACAGCTGCTCGTGGCAGAACGGGGGCTGGGGGGAATGCAACCAGGTGGCCCCCTGGTTCTCAGAGGGCAGCGAGGCCTCCAGGTACCCCGCCGGGGCGCTGGTGCCCGCCGCCGCCCCCGGGTGCTCTGGGGCCGGGAGGAAGGCGGCGCGCGGGTTGGCGGAGCGTACGCCGCCGCGCCAGGTTCAGCACCACCGCGTCAGTCCGGGCGACTGCCGCGGGAGGCACGGGCACCTCGGCCGCCGGGACACCGAGCGGGAACCTGGGAGGACTTGGTGCTTACCGCTCCATCTGTGGCTCGCCCCGGGTAACCTACTCTGGCTTCAGCAGCGCCAGAGGCTTTGGAAAGAGCTGACAACTATTTAAAATGTGGTCATCAAAAACAGATCAATGTTTCTTCGGTTGCCAGTTCTAATTCAGCACAGATCAATGCATCCGGGCTGTTTAGGCGGGATTTACGCTAAATAATATACTTATACAGTAAGTTATTTAATATAACATTTTTGGGACCAATTTCCTGGGTCACAATTAGTTTGGGTGTATTTTTTTTTAATCTCGAATTATCTGTACAGTAGTTCAGATTGCAGATGGATTCACCCCCCCCCCCCAGGATATTTAGTTGTTCCATCAAACTGTTAATTTGGTCTGTCCTGACAGTTTCTTAGATTCAGGTTTGCTTTAGCTCTGACAAACGGTTCTGGCTGGTTCAGGCAGAAGACTGAGGAAGCTGGGGAAGATTCCGAAGTGAAAGTATCGATATTCATTACATGATCACACCTTCTTTTAAATAACGTGTCACTAACAGGGTTAGTACCGATATCATTGCTAGAAATTTTTTTTTTAAAGGCCCAGGAAATGGAAATTACATAATAAAATAGTTCAACCTGAAAATTTGGGACAGTTCATAATTTTAGCCCCATTAAGAACATCCTTCTCTGTTGCTTCCCTTTTGTGTGTAGGCAAGTGGGGGAACAAGGATCCTTCATATCTATCGGATGAATCTAGGGAAGGACAGGTGATAAGAGGAAGTGGATCAGGAAGCTAGGAATCTCTCCCAACTTCTGGCTGTGACTCTGAAGGGACGGAGGTGAGGGTGTGGGTTGGTTGAGGTCTGAAACTCTACCAAGACAAACCAGAGCATGGTGCTTCGGGTTGGATCTGGTCGTGAAACAGGAGCTAGAAGAGGACAATTAGAAAGATGTGGCCAGATTTTCAAGCTTCATTTCCTCACCCCAATCTCTTGAACCCCCAGTTTTTGTGGTCTTTTACTCAAGTGAGATATCTCTTGAATTTTATTTATAGACAACAATTGAGTATAGAAAGCCAATTGGGAAGGTGCAAAAAAGCACAATGTCTTGTTTGTGTTAAGTATAGCTTTTCAAGAAAGTTTCACCTAATGACTTAAGTTTTAGTTAAAGATTGCAAGAGTGCATATATTTTGAGCTAGTTGGCCTTTTATTTGGGAGGTTCTTTGCAGATACCAAAGTATTCCCTGTAGATAATGATATTGAACTAGAACTTAACAACCAAGTTCAAGCAAAGAACACATGGTCCCTGCCTTCGAAGAGTTTAGTCTAGTGGGAAAAATGGGTATGTTTACAAATATACAATACAAGATAGTATAAATGGAGTCATATGGCAGTAACATCATTAGTGTGCTATTGAATGGCAGAGAAAAGGGAAGCTTCATTCAAGGTTAAGAACTAAAAAAAGTTACATAGCAGGTGTAGCATTTGAGCTGGTATTTGAAGAAGGAAGATGATTTCCTCCATTGAACGGAGCCTTGCTGGAACAAGCAAATAGCACAGATTTCTGGAAGTCCAATGTGTCCAGAGGAAGCAGAGTAGTTTGGAGTGATTGGAGCCTGGAATTTAAGATAGATAAGGCTGGGAGGTAGGATGGGGCTAGATTGGGGAGAATATGACAAGCCATATGAAGAAATTAAAAATGTGATTGAACATCATTATTGTTATTACTATTTATACCAGCAATATAGTTATACATACATCCTTAACTGTAGTTTATACCTTGAAGTTCAGTTTTGTTTATACCCTAAAATAAATAAGTGGATAAAATCTCAATGGTATTTGCTTCCTATTAACATTACTATAAAAGAGTAATGTGTTTCAAATAGCCTTTAATGCTTTATATAATTCCGACAGTTTTTCCCCCAAATCTGCAGTCTTATGGTATACCGACTCTTGGTTTGATGAACTCTGGATAGGAAGACACCTCCACTTTCCTGGGCAATATGCAGAGTAGAGCCATTGTCTGCTCTCTGTTTCAACTGCCAATAATAATACTTATTATTAATGTTTATTAAACATGATATGTCATGTGAGTCACATACCTTATTTCATCAAGGAAGAAGGCATAATTTTGATCTTAGACTGATAATTTTAAAAAGGTCACTCAGCTAAATAGATGATGGGATGAGGATTTGAAGCCAAGAAATCTCTCAAAAGCCCATCCTTTGAACTATTGTTGAACTATCAGGTAACAAGGACATAATACAGGATAACTTGTTAAAAGAAGTTAGAAATTGGGCCTGCTACCTGTAGAAGTACTTCTCTATTTTTAAACTTGCATCCTCATTCCCATCATTCTGATTTTGTTTTTTAATTGAGTTATAACTGACATACAGCATTGTATTACTTTTACATGTACTGCATAATGATTCGAAATATGTATATATTGTGAAGTGATTACCACAATAAGTTTAGTTAACATCCATCATCACACATACAGTTTGTTTTGGTGATGAGAACTTTTAAGGTCTACTCTCTCAGCAACTTTCAAATATATGATATAATATGTTACCTCTAGTCATCATATTGTACATTACTCATCATTTGATTAATTTTACTTTACAAATTCATGATGAGACATTTAAATGTTTTAACACATCTTCAAACTGTTCTATGATCTTGTGCATTTATGACACACTCAAAAGAAACTCTTCAGCACTTTGAGAAGAGATAAGATATGGATGAGAAAAACATTAGTGAATGTGACAACATTAAAAACAAAGACCAGATCTGCCAGATTCTCTGGAAGAGTGTCAATTTCAAATATTCTTCTCATTATTCCCAATAACCCTCCCAAATGTACTAGATCTTTTTGTATTTCAGCATCCCATATATGTTGCCTTGTGTCTTGAGTTTTTATTCTGAAAGTGATACAGCAAATATACTAATTTGTACGTGACATACTCAAGTGCACTCAGACAACAGATACAACTCTACATAATCATGTGGAAATTATGCAGAACATATACTAAGCAAAAGAACACACCAGTGTAGATATCCTCATCGTACAAACCGTATCAGTGTAGATGTCATCATGACACAAACCATATCACTCAAAGCGTGGCCCAAGTAGTAGCTACTACTTCAGAGAAAAGCTGAAACAAGAGCCCAGTGGCATAGGGAACATGATAACAGTATGGGATGCAGGGAAATGATTATACCAACTGTATATAAGTGTCTGGCTCTCATGTTGCCTGTTCTTAACTCTGTTAAATCTAGATCTTTTCATCTTTTCTCCGGCTCTGAGTGGTTTACAAATTCGGCCATTTTCTCTTCTGAGCCTGAGAGCAGGACTGGAAATAGGTGACTGACTGTTCACTGGATTGGTCAGTGAGGGACCATGGTGCTGGCCTCTCCTCTAGCCACGCTACCCCTAGATTGGTGGTAGCAAGTTCACAGGGTTCACCCAGGGGGAGACAGGCAAAGCAGATGATAGGTAGAGGGTGAAGAGAGCACAGGTGCAACTCTAAATGCAGGTCAGCCTTGGTCCTGTGTCAGGGAGATGTTAGAGAGTGGAAGCAACTGGAGAGAACACGTCCATTCAATGAGGGTGAAAGCTACTCAGTTCCAGCCAACTGTTATGTGGGAATAAGGGCCCCGTGTTGCCAGATCTTCTGATGGATTTTCAAGAGAATCCAAAAATTCAGATTTTTATGTGAAATCTTCCAGTTTTAAAACATTGGCAGTTGCCAAAAGTAAAATAAAAATAAAAATAAAATAAATAAAATAAAAATTGTGCGGGCCAACAAGATGCCTCTGGAGATCTAGGGATCAGATCTGGCCCGAGGGCGATCAATTTGCCAAATGATTCCTAAGGCTCCTTCTGGCTTTAGTCTTCCATGATCCTATACTCAATCCATGTTACCTCTAGCCTATTTCTTCCACTTTGCCAAAACAGAGCCCAGTACTCACCATATCTAAGTCATGTTTTGGAGGATAACTTAGCTTTGGAGGAGCTCTTTGCTAAGTGCTGGGCTGTGATTGATTTGTAAGGCCTTAAAGAGTCAAAGGATGTCCTTTTTTTGATGGTCATACTGTTTTCATAATTCAGAGCCTCTAGCAGTTAATTACTTGTGTTAATTATCCCTTTTGGGGATGATTAATGTGATTTAATTCCAGGGCCCAGAGCTATTTCTCCTGCTCTTTCTTCTCACCCCAGTGTGAGATAATAACCAGTTGGGAAATTGATCCTGGTTCCCCCTAGGGCAAGTTGTATTTGTAGCCTGGCTTACGGTGCTTGGACAAAGAAATCTTCATTGTCTTTACCCTGGCAAAATTTCACCGGGTAGTCTGTCTCTCTTTTTTA